TTGTGTTTCTGAGTCCACCCGAGCCACCAGAGACACCGTACTCTGACACCGACTCGAACATCATACTTGCCGCGGTTTTGACCCCGCGACACTATGTCTAGAATGAAGATTAACTTTGAGAAGAGTGAAGTCTTTACAATAGGAATAGAGGAGGCAGAAAAGCAACAAGTGGCTGATTTTCTTAACTGCATGATAGGCACATTCCCAATAAAGTGTTTGGATGCTGATTAGTGATTGTAAAATCTCTAAAGCTCTGTTGAGGTATATCAATGAGAAGACTGAGAAGAGATTGAGTACGTGGCAATGTGACTACTTGTCTTCTGGAGGTAAATTAATTTTGACCAAGTCTTGTCTGTCTAGTATACAATGTAAACCATGGCGGTATATCATCTCTATGAAGGGAATTTTTATGGATTCCATCAGGTCAAAATTCTTTTGGCAAGGTACAGGAAAGAATAGGAAATATCATATGATTAAATACGAAGTCCTAAATAGACCCAAGGAGTTTGGGGGCCTAAGCTTCTTGGATGTTAGAGCAATGAATGTCTATTTGCTGGTTAAATTGATTGACAGATTGGAAAGGGGAGACAGTAGTCTATGTCGCTCAAATATCAGAGACACACAAGTACTTTTCAAATCAAGACAAGGAAAGGTTCACAGTTTTGGAGATCTTTGCTAGACATTCAGATTGGTACCAGAGAGGTAGGGCTATTGAGGTCAGAGGAGCGCATCAGACAATGCAAGATTTTGGCATGACAGTTTGCTGGGAGACTGTCCTATAAAAACTAATTATTATAGTCTGTTTCAGATAACCTCAGATCCTGATCTGGAGGTGGCTAAGGCATGGGTAAATGGGCAGTGGGTAATTCAGTTTAGAAGAGAGTTAGATGATACTAGGAGAAATGAATGGGCTGAACTCCAGATGTTGTTGGGTGAGATACAGCTTAATGAGGGTACTGATAATATATATTGGATACTTGAGTGTTCCAAAAAATATTCAACGAGATTCTTATAAAAATTGATGACTTCAAAGGGAATTGCGGATATGCACATAATGGTCGTGGGAAATATAACATTCCTCTTACAGTGAAAATTTTCCTTTGGATGATTGCTCATGGTAGAATTCAGTCTGGTGTTCAACTTAAGAAGAGGCGATGGTCTGGGCCTGAACATTGTAAAATCTGTGATAAGCTTGAGATAGCTGATCACATCTTATATATTTCAATGCCCAGTCTTTCTATGGTCTTATCTTCGGGATGCTTTGGCTCACCAAGATTTTCCACTTGTTCAAAGTTTTTAATGTTGAGGTGATGAATGTTTGTCGAAGAAAAAAAAGAGGCCTGTATTGGAAAATCTGTATCTATCCATATCTCTTATAATCATAAACCCCACTGGTTATATATCTCAACATGTAAGTTGTCCACCTCAACAATGCACTATCACTTGAAATCAAAACACACGAGCATATGCAATTGTAATGTTCATGTTAGCATGACACATAAGCATTTTGTTGTCTATGTCAACATTCCATACAATCCACTAATCCGCAATTCCCGCAGCAACGCGCGGGGTATACTTCTAGTTCTAAAAAAAGTAGCAAACTAAACAGATGGAATAGAAAACCCACAGAATCCTAATCAGTATGCATGTTGCAACCCTGATCAGTATGTCCATTGTGTTCCTAATCAGCATGTCTACTGCAATCCTAATGGACATGTGCATTATGACCCCTAATCAGCATGGATGTTGTAGTTTTAATCGATATGAGAACGGGTATACCTGAGTTGTGTTAAAGAATTCTAATGTAGCAACTCGAAGAGTTGGCAGGGCAAATCCCATAACCCCTAATCAGTATGCTTGTTGGGACTCGTAATCCGTAATACCCACTACGACCCATAAATAAAAGGGTATGTTATACGTCATATGATGAAAAGAACCAAAATTGATATTGTCAACATAAAATTTTACAATCTATATGTGTAACGACTTGTCGACATATGTGTAGTTGCACCATCAACATAAATAGCTATATATCTATACACAATTAGCTACAATATATATAACGCAATTTTTACTACATAAAAATATATATTTAAATGTATAAGGGTCTAGTTGCACAGATTTTGTCGTAATAATGAATATAGTTGTGAAAATAAAATCGAAAAACGAACTAGACATAAAAAAAAGTAATCGCATTTTTTAAAGAGCAAAGCAAAATAAATCACGTGGGCCACGACAGCCCACCCCTTCCCATCCTTCCTTCAGGACGCGCAGCAGGCTGCGCGATCGGCGCGAGCGCGGGATAGAGTCAGTTATGTAGGCCTAGCTGCTGTATTCTTCATCGGTGGGCCAAAAAGCAAGACGTATACAGCTAGGGAAAAGTCCACGTTACCTTACTTAACTTTCCTAAAAATTCACTTTTCCTCCCTGAATTTTAAAACCAATAAAACGTCTTCCTCAGCTTTTAAAACCGTTCATCTTACCTCCCTGGTCCGGTTATAACCGGGTTTAAAGACGGTTTTGTCTTTTTCTTTTTTATTTATTTCGACTGAATCTTTGAAAAATCACAGAAAAATTATAAAATGAAAAATCCAATCTTATTGGACTCCACATGAGTAGATCTACACAGTAAACATATAATATGGTATGCTTTAGTATAAAGTTTTTGCTTTAACTTTAGATCTATGTTTTTCTGTAATTAAATAGAATAATTCATAGCTGCAGTTTCTATGGTCCAATTATAATGAAATTTTTATGGTGGGCAGGGTGAGCCTCTCTTGTGTGTTATTAAAGTGGTACCTGTCATGCTACCCTACTGTCGAATTGGCTAAAACTTATGACTTAACAACTCAATGAATGGTTTATAAACTTATGGTTTGTAAGACTTTTGTTGTTTATTCTGATATAATTTATTTGTATATTTCATAGAAACTATTGTAATACTGTAATGTCTTCTGTAATGTATCCTACTCGAAAGAAAAAAGTGGATGATTTGGGTTTCTCGAGGACACCCGATAGACTACCGGAATTATGTGGCTTATGTGTGTTGTAGTCAGAAGTCTATGAGACAATGACGGGTACATGTGGGCCATATAATTTGGACGGTTCTGCCACATATCATTGGGAAGAATTAGGGTTTTCTCTCTCCTCCTCTTACAGTATGGTCACGATGCTATTTATACTCGACCGTATCTTTTACATGGATGCATTTGCCCTTTCAACTACTACAACCCTAAGGAATATTCCATTTCATTGGGGGTCTTCTAGTCCTCCCCGCATACAAGTTCCTCTGGTTAGCGCCACCCTTGCGTGGCCTCGTGGTCCCCTCGTGTCGGTGCTGAGGCACCCGCCTAGAGGGAGGGGACCAGCCCCCCTGCTATTGATGAAGCCTCCAACACCCTTTCATCCTGGAAGATGAGGAAGATACCACCTGCATGACACAATGGATTCAAACTATAGGATCACAAGGTGAGTAACTCGCTTTCGCGCTTGGCCCAATTTTCGCTTGCCCAAGAGCAAAAGTGCTATCGCCTTCGGGCTGTCCTGGCGACATGTAAAACCTTTCCGTGAAAACCGACAGGTGTCCTTTCGCCGCCTAGGGGTGCGAAAGGGTAGGGCATTGCCCAACAATAGCCTTTCATCGTCGTCAACTGGCTTTGGCTTTGGCGTTGGCGGCGGTGGCAAACTTTTTCAGAGCCCTCTTTCGCACTACCCAACGCCATCCACAAGATGCGAAAGGACACTATATTTTTTTATGGATTTATTATCATTTATTATTATTATTTTGTTTTTCTTGAAAATTGGATTCGAACGGTTATGCCCTTAGAAACTGCCTGTCTCGTTCTCGAGCAAAGCGCCTTCTGGGAACTCGTGCCCGATCGTTGGTGGGGGGTAAAGATGTGCATGCATAACCCGCCTGGGGTTTTGGTTGAATACCAAAGTGGGCCAAAGGCCCGAGCCAAAAAATGTTCACGAAGCATGAATTAATTGGGCCCGACCTCCGACGCTTGTGTCAAGAACGTCTTGAACCCATCGGGCCCATTAAGGACCGTTCAACCCCCTTCATAGCCTAGCGTACTCCTGCCCCAAAAAGCCCGTGAGCAGGCCGGGCTTGGCCTCGGGCCTCGGCCCAGCCGTATTGGCGTAGCAACGGTTCACGACCTGTTTTACAACGGCCGCCCAATCGATGGAGGCCAAAGAATGGAGGGGCTATATAAGCCCCCACCTTTAGATCGCGGACCCCCTCCTCACTTTGAAAGTCACTCCGCCCACGCCTGCAGCCGCCGCCCGCCCACGCCACCCTCGCCTCTGAGCTCTCTGAAACCCTAACCCTAATCCCCACCTTGCCTCACTCAACCCTTGTTGCGCCGCACCACCTGACCTCTCTTGTGTGTTATACCGCGACCACCTCGAATTGGCTCACTCAACTCAATGAATGGTTTATAAACTTACTTCCATTGTTTATTACGATATAATTTATTTGTATATTTCATAGAAACTATTGCTACCATAATGCCACTGGATGATCCACTCGCCTCGCAGCTCTCAAACCCCTAACCCTAATCCCCACCTCGCCTCGCTCGAGATCAAACCCTAACCAACCCTAATCCCCACCTCGCCTCGCCTGACCTCCTGGCTACCGCTTGCCGTCGTCCACCTCCCAGGCTACACGCTGCCGACGCGGATGTTGAGATCTCCTCTTCTCGATCTCTCCCCTCCTCGTCTCACTCTGACCGGATCTTGGGATCTCCTTTGTCTCCCGCCTCTTCTCCGCCTCTCGTCTTCGTCTTCGTCTTCTTTTCCATTTCTCCGGCGCCGGGCTCCGTCTCCATGCAGGCAAGTACCTCTAACCCTAACCCTAACCCTAACCCTAGATCTAGTAGGCAATCACACGAACCCTAATCCATTTCTCGGTGTTTTTGATTCGCAGGTCGCCGGTGTGTAGCTGGTGCCGCAGGAGGCGTTGAGGGACGGTGCCGGTTGGGTGGGTGCCATCTGCCATGGCTGGCTCTGAGTCCGGTGATGATGACGATGGTCCAACCATCAACGACGAGCTCAGGGCCACAGGGCAGATCCCCGATGACGAAGACGACATGGGAGATGCTGCTCATCTCTTGTTCGGTAGGAGTGCTGCTCCGACCAACCGAGACGATGCAGCGGCTAGTGCTGCGGCCACCAGCGATGCAGCATCTCTGGCTTCGTCCACCACTAGTAAGCGCCGATCCCCTGTCTGGGCTAACTTTGATGAAATCATAGAGACAGTGGACGGTGAGGTACGTGTTGTTGCTATTTGTAAGCTCTGTAAGTCTCGTTTGTCTGGTAAATCTGCTAATGGCACTGGTCATTTGAAAAGACATATGCTCTCATGCAAGAAGAAAACAGAACAGGCTAATTTGGTTCAAACTAGGCTTGCTTTGAATCCTGATGGGTCTTATAGGAACTGGGAATATAGGCCTGATGTTGCTAGAGCTGAGCTTTGCCGTTTGATTGCTAGATTAGATCTGCCTTTATCTATTGCTGACAATGATGCTTGGGATGATTACATTCAGCGTGCTCACAATCCTAGATACAAGAGAGTGTCTAGATTCACCACATCTAGAGATCTTTCTAAGCTTTTCAATGAAAAACTGCATCACCTAAAAAATGAAGTAATGCCTGGTGTGTCTTCTGTTTGTTTGACATCTGATATCTGGTCTGGCAATGCTAAGGAAGATTATATCACTGTTGTTGCTCACTACATTACTTCTGAGTGGGAACTTAAGAAAGCTGTTGTTGGCTTTAAACTGATTGAAGTGACTCATAGTGGTATTAACATTGCTGAAATTATTGCTGGTGTGCTTGGAGATTGGGGCCTACTTGACAAAGTTTTCTCTGTTAGCCTTGATAATGCATCTGCTAATACATCTGCTATGCTTACTTTGAGTCCTCTGCTTGCTGGTTACTTGGGTTATGATATTGATCCATTGAATCCTAGTAAAAAGATCTATCATGTTGTGCATCAGAGATGTGCTTGCCATATACTTAATTTGATTGTTAAATCTGGTTTGAAAAGGCTTAAACCACACATAGAGGTTTTTAGGTCTGCAATTAACTTTCTGAATTCATCTAATCATCGCATTGCACAATTCAAAAACTACTGCATTGCTAAGGGTGTGAGGCCTCGTAAATTTGCTTTGGATATGGATGTTAGATGGAACTCAACCTACCTTATGCTAAAACATCTCATGCCATATAGATCTGTGTTTTCTGTGTTCATCAATTCTCAGTCTGGCTATCCTCTATTGAATGAACAGCATTGGTACATTGCTGACAAGGTATTGCAGTTCCTTGAGTTGTTCTATGATTCAACTGTTGTACTTTCTGGTGTTTATTACCCCACTAGTCCTTTGGTACTGCATCACATACTTGAGATTGCATCCCATCTGCATGAATTTGAACATGATAATACTCTTGCTGCTGTAGTTGTGCCAATGAAGAATAAATTTCTTAAGTATTGGAAGAATGTACCACTGTTATACTCTTTTGCATTTATTCTGGACCCAAGGGCTAAGTTGAAAGGTCTGGGAAATGTGCTTGACTTGCTTGCTCTAAGTAACAATATGAGTTACATTGATTACTTTGCTGAGGTTAAATCTGAGTTGCATAAACTCTATGACAAGTATGAATCTAAGTTTGGTGCTGCTAGGCCAGCTAGAACCACCCATCCATCTGGACTGACAGGTAAGAGAAAGCAGGCATGGGGCAAAATTTTTGGAGGATCAGTTTCTTCTGGTCCTTCAAGTGCATCTGCAGGATCTATTGTGTCTCCTGGTCTCTCTGAGCTCACTGTTTACCTTGACAGTGACAATGTTGTGGCATATGATGATGACTTTGATATCCTCAATTGGTGGCATGAGCATAAACTAACCTATCCAGTTCTCTGTACCTTGGCTAAAGATATTATGACTGTTCCTGTATCAACTACTTCTTCGGAGTCTACCTTTAGTCTTACTGGCAGGATTATTGAGGAGCGGCGACGGCGATTGGGCGCGGACAGCGTGGAGATGCTAATCTGTGTCAAAGACTGGGAGCTAGGTGAATCCGGTGGACAGCACACTGTGGAGGACAAAGAGCTAGAAGAATACTTCAAAGAGCAGTACCTTGATGATGAAGCTGGTGGATCATCTACTGCTGGTGATGGTTGACTGCTGAGAGCTGAGAGCCTGAGAGGCTGTGAGTGCGACTTTAGTTGTGAGTTGAGACATTTGAGCTAGCTGGTTTGTAATAACTTTGAACAATTTGAACATTTTAATTTATTGAGCTGGCCGTACTCTTTTCCTTTCTAGGGTTTTATCTCACGAGGTGTGAGTTTTACCTAGAAAGGTTTTTAATGAGGCGGCATTGCACAAACAGCTCAAATCTTTTGTCATCTGGTGTTTCTGTGATTGTTGAATATGAATATGTGAACCTGTGATTGTTTGAAGTTTGAACCTGTGATTGCGCTGTTTGAAATATGGTGTTTACTGTGTAACGGGCTACGGGCTGGCCTGATGGACCAGCGGGCCGCGGGTTCAACGGGCTGGCACGGCCCGATATTCGGCCCACGGACCGTGCCTGGGCCGTCCACCAGGCACGGTGGACTGTTCAGGCACGGCCCGGTGGCCCGGCGGGCCAAAAGGGCCCGAGCCCGATCGGGCCGTGCCTGGCCCGGGCTCGGGCCGTGCCGTGCCGTGCTGGCCCGTTGCTCATCTTTAGTGGGGGGTTCACCGCGCGCCTATACATATACCCCCAATCATTTGGAGATGCCGTGCTCTGTTTGCCTTCTGCTCTGCGTGCTAGCTCGCTTCCAGGCCTTTCGCATCTGGAGGTTTTCGCAATCGCTGAAGGTCCTTCGGATTGGTCTTCTACCTTTCGTCTTTCAGTAATGTTTTTCATTTTCGCTTGCATAATTTGCTCTTTGTTGCTTTCGATTGTTTTTTCTTTTCTTTTTTTTGTTAGTGATTTCGCCGCCACTTTAGATGGCGTCTTCGACGGTAGGGTCTTTCTCGTCATCTGGTTCCGGCAGCGGGAGCAAAAGCACCTCGGATTCTTCTTCTGAGCGGGGGTGCTCGTAACGTGGATTCTCGCCGGACCATGCCAGAGATATCGGTGTCCGAGGAGCATAGCACAGGCTCTACAGGGCGAAAGGGACCTAGAGTGTCTGGTTCTCTGGCTGAGGATGCCGAATAATCTCAACGTTGGGGTGATGAGAAACCTTCCGCATCGAATGGTTCCGAAGCTTCAGAGAGAGTTTCAATTACGGAATCAGTTGATGAAGCATCTGTGCCTGTTCCGACCACCTGCTCATTCTATCTGGGGCGGTCGAAAGTGACTCACATGGATATCCAAGATTATGTGAATAAAGGTTATCTGTGGCCGGACACCGGTACAAGTTTTCGCCCGCCTGGCAACGAGACTGTGCCTCGACCTAAGCCTTATGAAGCCATGGTTTTTCACGACTTCTTCATCGCTGGTTTGGATTTTCCTTTGGAGGGGGGTGTGAGCGAAGTGTTGGAGCGATTCCAGATTCAACTTCATCAGCTGACACCACATGCTTTCGCACGGCTGAGCATCTTTGCTATGTCCATAAAAATGTTGGGTTGCCCCGTGCTGGCGGACACCTTTATTCGATTTTATGAGTTCCAGCGCCGCCGGAGCGATGTGCGAGATCCTTTCGCTGGGAAAAAACTGCCTCTGGAATTTGGAGCCTTCATCTTCGTTCCGAAGAAGAAAGCGGTACTGTTAGCATTGTTCCGACCTATCAGAACAAATGACCGCAATGGAAAAAGTTTTGGTTTTACCATCGGGTCTGCATCGACAGTGTGTTAGGTTGGTCCCACCAATTGACCCAACGGTTAATTAGGTCCTTGATCTACGCTCTGATCGGGGGCGCTCAGCCTTTCTACTGGTTGATGGACCCCTGTCGCGCAGTGCCATAAAAGGACGGTGAGGGCTGGGACACATAACACGAGGTTTACCGCAGCCGTCAGCCCCCCACTGCGTCCTAACCCCAATCCGATTTAAAGGGGCATTGAGCGACGGGAAGCACCATCGCCTTCGACCACCGTCACTGCACCACGCCTGCACTGCTACGACTCCGGCGGCCGCGTCACTACGGCGCTATGGCCGCAACTGCCTTAGGACGAGGTACATCACCAAGCTTCCCTATCCAAGTCAAGTTTTATCCCCTGATCTACAATTCTAGAGGTACTATGGTCTATCAATTGTATCGGAGCAAAGGTTTCTTGTACTGCGAGATCGAGGCTGGGGTAGAAAAGTGAAAAGAAATGTAGAAGAAAAATAAAAAATTTCCATTCCCAAACCCTACCCCAAGATCACAGAACGGAGAGGAGGAAGGGACCTAACTGGGTTCTTTCCCCACCGTCATCACCACCGGCCGTCGTCTCGACACCGCGCAGGAAGCCACCCCGAGCCGCCGGGGGCGCGAGCAAAAACGGAAGTAACCCAAACCCTAATCCGATAAATGATGGACGGAGGGGACACGGGCCTACCTGGGGCTCACCTGTCGCCACCGCCACCGCCGACGTCACGCAGGAAGCAACTCACGGGCCGCTGTCCAGGGAGGCCACGCCACCGCGGAGCCCCTACCTCAGGCTCGGGGGTCAAGGGCAACGTCGCAAGGCCGCTCGACGGCGGCGCGCTCAGCCTCAGGCGAGCGCGCTCGCTGGCGAGGGGCCCCACGGTGCCGCCACCACTCTTTAACTCCGGCCGCCACTGGCGGCCGCCGCTGGTTTTCCGTCTCGGCACTAAGAGAGAAGGGAAGGGAGGAAATGAGGTTTTGGGTTTTCGGGGTTGACAAGCAAAGGGGCCCACGGCGGCGCCATCTTCCTCCTCTGGACAGCTAGGCGGCCGCCGCTCGGCGAGAGAGGGTCGAGGGGGAGAAGACTGAATGAGGTTAGGGTTTGGGGGAGGCTGGCCGAGAGGGGGCGACTTTTGATCTCCCGATCGTTGTGCATAGTCGTCGAATCAAGGCGGATGGCAGGGATTGCACGAGCCGAATTCAGCCCAGGCAGGTGAGAGAAATCCCAGCCCAGGGCCAGGTTGCGGCCTAGGCAAGGGGAGGCACCGCGAGCGCGTGCACAGGCGCTGCTGGGCCTCGCGCTGCTGTGCATTGCTTGGCCACGCACGAGCGCCTAAAGGGTATACTTGGTCATCGGGCCGGCCTGGCTCGGCACGGCACGGGCCCGTGCCAGGCATGACCCAGAGGATGTCGGGCCAGCACGGCACGCGGGCCTCTCGGGCCGTGCCCAGCCGGGCGTCGTGCCTGACCAAGGGCCCAGGCACAGCCTGCTGGACCGTTTTTCGGGCCGGGCCGGCCCGAGAAGGCACGGCCTGCCAAGTGTTCCGCGGGGAGAGCAGGAGGCAAGGGCAGCCACGGGGAGCGGCGGCGGCCGCCGGCGCGCTCGCCCTGGAGGCTGGATGTGGGGCCATGCGGGGAGGTAAGGAGGCGAAGGCCGGATCCGCGCAGAGGAGGCATGTGGAGGAGCAGCAGTGCGTGGCGGTAAGGAGGAGGTGGCCACCGTCGGCGGAGGCGGGTTGGAGTGGAGGTGGCGTCGGGGCGGAGCTCGTGGCTAGATCTGGCGTCGGGGCGGAGCTTGGGGCCAGCGCGCTCGTTCTCGTGGTGGCCGAGGTGGGACTGTGGGAGGCGATGGCGGCGCTCGACGTTGGATCCCATGAGAAGAGAAGGGGATGGAGGGGATTCGGCGAGCCGCGGGGAAGCAGGAGCTCGAGGCATCGGCGGCCGGCAGGGTGGAGCTCAAGCTTGTGCGCGAGGAGGAGGGGTGCGGGTGCTCGACGGCATGGGGGAGAGGAGGGGTGCGGGTGCGCGACGGCGTGGCCACGTGGGGGAGAGGAGGGGTGCGGGTGCGCGAGTGCGCGACGGCGTGGGGGAGAGGACTGAGGAGGGGTGCGGTGCGGGTGTGGCGTGGCGTGGGGGAGAGCCGGAGAGGAGGGGTGGGGGACTTAGGGTTCGGGGGACGGTGGGCTGGCCAGCTAGGCCGCGCGCCGTGGGGAAGGGAAGTGGAGTGAGGAGGGGAAGGGGGTGGCTGGCCGGGCCGCTGCTGGGCCGGCTGACGCAGGCCGGGCCGTGCCGTGCCAGCCCACGGGCCTGAGCAGCGGCCCAGGCACGGCCTGCTCCCTCGGGCCGGGCCAGCCCGGGCCCGCATGTCACCGGGCCAGGCCGTGCTCGTGTCGGGTTAAAAAAGCGGGCTTCGTGCCGTGCCGTCGTGCCTCGGGCTGTATGGCCAACTATACTAAATGGTCGGGCCGAATGCATAGTAATGATTATAAATTTGTTTATTTATTTTTCAAAAGTGAATCTTGATGAATTTTGATTAGTTTTTCATCTCTATTGAATTTTGAACCACCGGGATAAATTGTTCAGAGAGTAGATGAGTACGATGAGATGCTTCTGAAAAGTGGATAAACAATTTATCAAGTTTCCGCTGCAAAGTTTAATGTTGATTATCTTCTAATTAAATTCGAACCAACGGGAGAATTTAATTTGAAGAGCAGTTATACTTAGTAAATTATGATAATATTTATCCTCTAATTAAATTAGAACCAACGAAAAATTTTAATTAGAGGAGTAGTCCGTTTTGTTTAAGTCAGATTATGGTATTGTCATTTTCTAACCAACGCTTGATGATGACAATATTATAATGAGTTCAAGTTTGAGTTTTAAATCTCTGATAAATTTCACACCAATATGGTCAAATTTTCAGAGAGTAGATAAGGACCAAGAAATATTCCTGAACTAATAAAATGTATTTTATTAACATGTTTCTGCTGCGATGAAGTGTTGATTATCTTCCAATTAAATTCAAACCAACGGGAGAATTTAATTTTGAAGAGTAGTTATATGGATTTCAAGTTAATTTATGAGTTTTATGCATTAATTCTATTTTCTGCCCAATGGTGATGTAGAATTGATGCAGAAGCATATTGTATGCTTTATTTTTAATCCACAAGATCACTCGGCTGCATGCCAACGGGCTGTAATGTTGGGGTATGTGAATGGAAAGGCTTGAGTCAAGCCAGTTCAGGACAATTTTTTGTTAGTTTACTAATTTTCTGATTAAATTGGAACCAACGGGAAGATTTAATTGAAAAATAAAGTATAAGTGAATGTTTTAGTCGTCATGACTAAGTTTTCGTATAGATGTATCCCGCATGGGGAGAAGTTTTGGCATAGTACTTATGCTAGTCAATCCTGCATGGCAGAAGAAGTTTTCTGATGATTCACATGTTTTGTATCCCGCATAGCGAGAGAAGCTTGGGTAGCTCTTATATTGTCCTAGTATTGACCTTGGCATAAAAGAAATGCATCGTCATGGTCAATACTAACTAAAGGATAAGAAAAGATGCAACCGTGACTTGCAAAAGTACAGCTAATGAAAGACCTCGTTGAGTTGTTGAAGTGAAATAAGGAAAGTGTACTCCTAAATGGATCAAGAAATAACTTTGTTTACATGACACAATTATGTGAATGAAGTAAGTTAAAAGTGTCTCCTCGTTATCGAAATTATGGCAGTAAAGTTCATGCCATATTTCGAGGGGGAGAATATTAAGATCAATTAAGAAAACTACTCTTCATTAAGAGTGAGATAAAGATCAATTAAGAAAGATACTCTTCATTAAGAATGAGATAAAGACCGTTGGAGGAGTACAATAGTCACAACAACGATACCCCTAAGCAGAGAAATACCTAAATTCCTGGATCTTTTTAATGTTTCGATAGAGAGATAGCGTAGTCAGCCTCAAAGATGTTAAGGTGGTGCTTAAAGCGCCATATGAGGTTTTAACAGATTAAACCCAAAATAAAAAATTTGAAGATACACTATCTTTACAGAAGATGGAAATATCTGGGGGGCATAGTATGTAGAGACCTAAGACTTGAAGAGAAGAGGGACTACGTGCCCACTCCAGTGACTCAAGAGCAACAAGTTTCTCAATACCTGTTGATGTTGTATGACTTATACAACACCTATTGTTTGTTCTTCAAAGAAGATGAATAATATAAACAAGGATCTTGTTATATAGGAGCCTGTAGAATCAATTGTCTCTTGGCAACGAAGAGCAACAACCCTATATGAAAGTGCCAGAAGCTGAGGCCCCAGAAGGTCTCGAAGAATTAGTAAACTAGTTTTCTGATGACTATGAAGTCTATG